ACTTGTGAGGTATCATTTTAACGATATTTTCTCACCCTTTTTATTTCTTTGCTAATAAGCTCATTCGAAGGATGAAAGAGAAAGGTAGGATGAACGAACATCATTCAAAGTTGAGTTAAGATGTGTTGGTACTTGAAAACAAAATTGGAATACGAATGACTTTTTTTTAAATATGAATAAAAATGGTGGGAAAATACCTTTCTACCGAGATCCCATAAGGCTAAATCAGAATAGTTTTGGCCCAGTTTTTTAAGTTTTTCGTAAATCAATCTTTGGAAAAAGGTAAAAAAACAGCATTAAAAATCTCATTATTATGATTCCGTTGCAAAGATTTTTAAATATTTTTATGCAGATTTTTTAAGCCTAATCTGCTTTGTCATCTGAGGGGACTTTTATTAAAAAATTCTTTAAGAAACTATTTTTATTCATAAAAAACTCCATTTCTGGAGGTATTTTCAAATCAGTCCAGCTCGCTTAAATCTTAATAATTTTCCGAAATATCTTTAAATATAATAAATTTTGAAATCCCGACAGAAAAACCGCAACTTTTTTTGGTAATGCAGTCTAATGTACATATATGTACTTGCAGTACCGAATCGTTACTCACATAATAATCTCGTTACTCGCATGTTCCGTATATGCACCGGGGATTGGCATTGGTTGATCGTCAACTGTTTCATACTGTATGACTGAGCAGCGGCGTTGGCTTAGTAGTATCGATACCATGATTCAATTATTAAAGGTTTTGTAAGTAGCTTTTTTCTAAAACTTGGCACTAACAGGGATGGTTTATGGGAGCAGGAGAAAAAGGGGAAGAATTCAATCACACTTCCTAAAATGGGAGCTAAATTCCATAAAAAGGTGTGGATAATAGTGAATGGTGGTATTTTAAAACAAAAACGAATTTGATTTAATTATTTAATTTAAACAAGCTTATTTACATCGAATATAACCCCCGGTTGTTATTAAAAATAAATATTTCTATGTATGTATATACCAAACTTGCGTACGTCAGATGGCGCATAACTCGAGAATGGATGGTCCACTTTCAGCTTTTTTTTGTTGTATTTGTTTGCCAGATGATGGATATGAAGAAGCTATTTGTTTGAGTAAAATAAGCAATATTTATTAAACAAAAAAAACGGCAAATAAAAAAATTTGGAGCTTACGTTTCTTTCTCGATTGTTTCGAATATGGTAATTCGAATTCTTTGATGTCGCACTTTTAATGTTCTGGGGAGATTATACCACTGTCAGAATATTAACCATTCGCCGGGTTGCACGAAAAAAAAATTTGAATGAGTTAAAATATCAAAATAAAAAAAAAATATCAAAATATTCGCCATAAAAAGGCGTTTGCATTGTTCAACTTTGCATTCTACTTTCAACTAATCGCTTTCAACAAAGTTGGTCGCCAGCCAACATTCGCCTCGTGCGTACACCTTTTAAGTGTGCAATTACATCGCGCCATTGACATTGGGCCTATGGATGCGGTTTCGCAATGTTATATTGCGTCAAAGTCTCATTCGGAGCCACCAGGATTGTGTTGTGGAGGACAATACCTAAATACCTTCGTTGGCTCATTTACCAAAACCATTGCACGCTTTACTATACAGCGACTTAGCAGAATCAAGAGGTCTCCACGAATATCGACAAATACATTTCGGAATTTAAGGGAATTTCGTCTCTTTAGCCTACATTGAATTTCTGTAGTCCAACGATTCTCACCCATTTTGTCTTGTTGGCGCCACCGAATGAAGAACAAAAAAGTAAAAATTTCACTACTAACGATTTAAAAATGTTCTTAAAACTTGCAAAGAAATTTGGAAAAGAAATATCACTGTATTTGTTTTTAGGAGTAGGGTGGGAGTGTCATTGATAAAATTAGAGTGAGAGAAAGTTTTTCTTACAAAACCTTTCATTATTAAATCATGTATCATGTATGACTGAGCAGCGGCGTTGGCTTAGTAGTATCGATACCTAAACGAAATTAGAGGATGACTGAACTCCAGCGCATGCGTGCTGTCTTGCAAATACAGCCACCACAAGTGAACGATGCTTATAACAGCTCATACTCACGATGCAGCGAACAAAGGTGGCGCCGTCAGTGGTACCGCTACTTTGGTTTTGCCGATTTTGACAGTTTTGGTAACTTGTAAATAAAACTTTGTTTACAAATCAGCGAAAGAGAAGTTTGAATTATAGGTGAAAAACAGTTTAAATTGTGTTAATTTGCAATTTGTGAGTGATTTTTGAGTTGAAGACTGCGTAAAAACCATTAAAATGAAGTGCTGTGTGTTAAATTGCGACAGCCATCAAGATCCAAGATGCGTAGATGCAAGTGTAGCGCTGGGACGAATCGCTGCATTTTGTGTACATACATAGGGCACGGCAAAGCCGTTCCCGAAATGTTTCTTTTGTTGTATTATTTATGTATTACTAGCGGCCCGGTACGTGCTTCGCTACGTATAAAGTGAAATATTAAATCAAACTCATTTATAAAAAAAAAAATATATTTAATTATTTGCTAGCTATTTTAAAACTTAATCTAAAACATTTGGATAAACAATATTTTTTGTTTTTCAATTTTGAGCATGAATAAACAAACGGCTGGGGGTACCGACTCTGGAACAGGCAACATAAAGTTGGCCATGTGAAAAACATGATTCCTCCAAATTCACACCACAAACGTTAAGTGTTTGCCCTTGAGCTTTGTTGATGGACATCGCAAATGATAAACGCACAGGATATTGTAATCGTTTGAATTCAAATGGCATATCAGTTGGAATCATAGGGATACGCGGTATTAAACAAACTTCTCCTTTTGATTTACCAGTTAAGATGTAGCTTCAATCAAATTTGGCAATAAATTTTTCACTGCCAATCTGGTGCCATTACACAGTTTTGGTGGATTAATATTTCGCAATAATATAATCAAAGAACCCACTTTCAGATTCAAGCGGTGGCATACCAGCCGGTTCTAATGAATTTAAAAATTCAGTTGGATAATTCATTGCCTCATCTTGATTCATAGCACTGTCAATTGATTTATATGTCGTGACTACACCTGGGAGTTTTGCTTGAATTTGAAAATTAATGGCATTGATATGAATGTTCTTCGGTGCTAAAATGGCGCGTTCTCTCAACCAATCATGATTTCTGTAATTCTGAAGAATATTTGGAAAAACACATTCAATCAATTCATCTATCGATTTCGTAATTGTACAAAAATTGTTCGGTACAGTGATCAATCCGTTGGTTCTGTCGATTTGTATTTTGCCATCACCAATTTGTAACAATTGTTTTGAAAACTCATGGGCAGCTGGATCATTTTGTAGGTGAATACGCATATTAATGTTCAGTGTAAATTTTTGTACATATCTCCAAAGAACTGATGACTTCAAACAGGCATTAATTTCATCAGCAGGAGTTGACCGAGGAATGACAGGCAATGTTTGTCGAAAATCCCCTGACAGTAATATCAAAGCACCACCAAAAAGCTGTTGGTTACCACGTAAATCTTGCATTGTTCGATTAAATGCTTCTAGTAATTTTTTATTCGCCATTGTACACTCATCCCATAAAATAATTGACGTTAATCGCAGAACTTTTGCCATAGCAGAATTTCTTGAAATATTGCAAGTTGGAGTTTCAATCACCTGTACATTCAATGGCAATTTTAACGCAGAATGTGCTGTCCGACCACCTTCTAATAATGTAGCAGCAATTCCCGAAGATGCAAGTGCCAATGCAATTTTCTGTTCCGATCGAATAGTGGCTAAAATCAGTGATATAACGAACGTTTTGCCTGTACCACCAGGTGCATCCAAGAAATATAACCCACCTGCATTATTGGAAATGGCTTGTATGATTGTGTCATATACATGTTTTTGCTGAATATTCATTTTGGTTATATTCGATTGTACAAATAAACGCAAATCATTAGAATTGAATTCCTGCTCACGTTGCAATTCACGATCAAACAGATCATGCATGTCACGATTTGGTGCGGTCATACCCAATTGTACTAATGTTTTATTTGCAATCCGTAGACACATATCTTCAATTATTATCAAAGCTTCGTTGTACATTTCCAAAGTTATCAACAAATCAGGATTTCTTGCATGATGACGCATACGAATTAAAATATCTTCTGCAATATTATGTTTATATTTATTCCATAATTCAAGTGGATCTGATGGCATACATGTTGATAATATAACGGCAAACAGCATTCGTATTTGTTGAGGATGAGCCGAAATAGATGCATCATGAAGTGTTGAATCCCAATGTGCATCATCCTCCAACAAATGCAAAAGTTGGCATGCTTCACGGTATGTTTCACACAAATGACCGTTGACTGTTCTCAATTCTTGAAATGATTTTGGGCCATTCACGTTAACTAATAACAATCTCAAATAAAAAACACTCAACATTGTTTGGATGTACTGTATATATTCTGCCAATTGCATCTGTTTGGAAAATGTCAGGATGCCCATGAACTGCTGTTCCTTGTTTACGTCTTTGAAATTTTTTCGAAGACACATTCCATATGTAATACTGAGGCACTTCAGAATATAACAAAGTTATCGCAAATGTATCAGTTTCGCATAATTTGAAAAAAGCTGTTAACGTAGTTGCTGGTGGTTACGCTGCTCTTTCCAATAAATTTGCTACATTAAAATAAACACCTTGGCCATTCTCAAGATGTACAGCCAAGTGAACAACCGCAGGATGTCTTTCGTGCATTGGAAACGACATAATCCTCCATACAGCTTCATTGCTACTAATATAGCGACCCATTTGATACTGAGTAATTTCATCATTTCTATTATCACCAGCAACACCGAAAATAGCCATATCGCTCCCTTTATTTACATACTTGCAAATATATTTAATGGATTTGACAGAATTACAATATTCCACATTTATATGAGCGTTGAATATTTTCGATAATAATGGACAATACGGAACCACCCAACGATTATCAACTTCAACTTCCTGGTTATGCATTCTAATGGTTGCCGTTTTGCCATTATCATTAGGTGATCTACGTCGATACAACGGATATCCGTCATTGCCCGTTATTGAGTCTGAAGTAAATTGCCTTCGTTCGTGGTATCGTTTCGAACACTTTTCATCAATCATACATGGTGAATTCACATTTAGCTCACCGCACGGTCCATGTATCATGTTTTTTAACGACAACTTGAAATAACTCAGGATCAGCAGTGTGATTAGAAATTTCAGCTGATATAATGTTATCGATTTGATCCGGAGTTATTTTATGTACCAGCCAAATTAGTATATGTGCGTGCGGCAATCCCCTTTTCTGCCATTCGATGGAGTACATATGGCAACGCACCTCCCCAAATACATATAATTTCCCAATTAAATCCATAAGTGCTTTACATTTTTGCCGAAAAACACGCGCAGTAATGTCATGACGATCGGTTGTCGACTGTCCTGCAAATAAATTGTTTTTGATGTCATCCCACTGCGAGTTCCCAATTGGTTATATCTGGAGTCCTTAGTTACCCAGCGAAAAGAAAAGTCCTCTTTTCATTAGCATTTATCAAAAACTTACAATGGATACTCATGTGGTTCAAACACATCCTAGGGTTATCCAGGTCCACGTTTTGGTCTATATCTCGAGACCCTAGTTACGGAGGGGCATTAAAAATACTCTATACTATAGCAATCATCAACAGCTCCCATTTGCTACCCATATTGTACAAACACATCCTTAAGTTATCGGGGTCCACATTTTGGCCGATATCTCGAGACCCTAGTCACGGAGCGGCATCAAAAATACTCTATACTATAGAAATCATCAACAGCTTCCATTTGCTACCCATATTGTACAAACACATCCTAGGGTTACCCGGGTCCACGTTTTGGCTTATTTCTCGAGACCCTGGTATCCGATTCTTAAAATTTCAAAACACAAACCATCTACTGAATAGTCCAAACAAAGCCTAAAAATTTGGTTTTGATAGGTGAGCCCGTTCTTGAGTTATAAAGTCACAACGAAAAATGGCATTCATTTTTATATATATAGATTACATTAACAGCATTTTCTCACAATGATTTTGCTTCTGCTCCAAGCAGCCTCCATTAGCAAGTTAACTAATCAATCCCGCTGAGATGCTGCCACAGTTTTCTGCAGCAGCCTTAATTGCAAAGCAATGGAGTGCACTAAAACGTTTGCTGAAGCAGCCTCAATTGCAAGGCAATGGAGTGCACTAAAATGTTACATATTCTCTAATAGATTAGGTAAAAGGTAAAAATGCAATATTTTCGCATTTAGAAAAATTAAAACACGTTTTTCGCTGTAAAGTGAACTGTTTTGGCTGTTTCAACTCGTTCTTCTTTTCGCTCTAATCTTTGTTTACTTGTGGTACACAAATGTCAACGCCCAGGACGGCGCAATCTAGTATTCTATCATTCTTGGCTCATACTGATATTGACTTCGGCAAAACTGTACTTTGAATGATCGTGCACGAAACCAGCAAACACCAGTGATCGGACTTCTACCACATTGTGGTAGATCTGTCACTTTTTTGAGCATCTATCACATCTACAACACAAGGTCTGAAATCTACCACATATTCGAGTTTTTGAGTAGTTTTAGTTAATTTTAAGAGCAAAAATTGTCTAACACTAATCACTAACAACAGGAAAAATGTGAGCGTAAAATAGTACATTTTCTCAATATTCAATTTTTCGACAGGAAATTTGATGATGATTTGATTGATGAAATGATTTTATTGTGGTTTTATAACGAAAATGGTAAAAAACGGCGATTTTTGTGAAAGTATTAGCCAATTTCAGTTCATCTAAAGTTTCTAAAGCGTTCTTTACTTTTACTTGAGAATTTTCAAAATCGGCAAATCCCAAGTAGCGGTTTCTGGAACGTGCCACATTTGTTCGCTGCATGGTGATAAAAAGGAAAGCTGGCAGCGCTCCGCAAGGTTGCAGAAATCTTTCGGAATATGCTCGAAAAATATCTTGATATGGAAGGAACTGCTTTACACTTTCAAGGAAAAAAATTACTAAAACTCAACGCAATTTTTAGCAACTCCAATCTTGCACTTTATTATACTATAATTAATTTTTTTTAGATTCTAATTAAAATGTTTGCAATTTAGGTGAAACCTTGCAGAATATTTTTAATTTTTGTACAAAGTTTGAAAAATCGAGTAGACAAATCAAAGTTAGCTGGTTTTTGTCAAACGGCAACCTAATATCGTCAATAACTTTGAGCATGGCCGTTGAGCAACTATGTTTTGCTCTAAACCCCGATTGAAAAGGAGAAAGAAGATTGTGTTTATGAACATGCACGCTAATTTGCTCAGCTAGTAATGACTCAAAAACCTTAGAAATTGCTGGAAAAATGCTAATAGGCCGAAAATCAGTAGGATCACTAGCATATGATTTCTTTGCGACCGGTCGCACACACGCAATTTTCCACACGTCAGGGAAACAAGAAGTTGTGATGCAATGATTAATGACATACGTAAGAGTACTAATAATATAGGGCAAGACAATCTTAATAAATTTTATAGGCAGGCAGTCCTCTCCAATTGCATTTGCCTTAATATTCAAAACACATCTAATGATATCACATTCAGAGACTGGGACAAATTTAAACAAGGGACCTTCGAATTTAGCAGCGGTTAAAGGAACAAATTTAGCTTGAGGGACAACAGTAGGACATTTAATAAAAGTACTATTTATGACATCAACGTTTAACTTACAATCAGATACACTACGCGCACGTACACGAATATTTTTAATATTACGCCACAAAACAAAGGATGGGAGTGGGGGTTCTAATTTTGAGGTAAAAAACTTTCGCTTTTCCATTCTGATTGTATATGTAGCCTTATTTCTTGCATTTTTTAATACTAACCAATTCTGTTCAGAGGGATTTTTTTTCCACGCCGTATGCAATTTATTTCTAGCTTTTAGGACTGTTTGTACCTTTTCGTTAAACCACGGATAAGACGTCGACATATTTTTTCTTACACGGACAGGAACATACAAATTAAAAGCATTTAATAGTTGACCATTGAGGAAATTTAGCTTGTCATTAACAGTAACAAGACGCCAACAATCACTTCAGTCTATACATGAGAGATGTAAAAACAGAGAGTCAGTATTCAATCGTTTATAGTCCCTAAACATAAAAGTATTACTGCTACTAGGACGCTCAAAATCAATATCAACAGCACAAAATATAAGATCATGGTCAGAAATGAAGGATAACTGGTCAAAATTTAAAACTATAGTTGGGTCAGAAACAATGAAATAGTCAAGTAGGTATATTGATGTAATCTACGATCGAAGACGACAGAACTTCGAAAAAAGATGACAGACATTTAGACCTACGTGGGTTGTATACACAGGAATCTAAAACTTTTGCAGACGAGTTGAACAATTCAACAAGATGGTATTCAACGCCACTTCCTCTAGATTTACATACAAGCCTAGCATTTAAATGGCTCTTGTAATATATAGCCACACCTCCACCCCTTCTCCCTAACCGGTCATTTCGGATCAGATTATAATTTCTCAAACTGTAGCTTACGTCACTTACATCATTAAGAAACCAAGTTTCAGAAACACAAATCACATCAATGGATGAAGATTCAAAAATATATCTAACAACATCAATTTTAACAGAGTTAAGGCTCCGTGCATTGAAATGCACTATGTTGAGTCCATCATGACGTCTACATAAAACATTTAACATCGCTAGACTACAAACATTCAAACAGCCATAAATTAGAATAAACAACATACAGGCAACCAAATAAAAGCAAGTTAAAGAGATTTCTAAAAAGGGAATCGAACTTTACGAAAACTAAAGAGACCATCAACATATTACAGATAAAAAATTCATAAAAGAACATAAAAATGAGTACATTAAAGCTAGACCTTCGGTTCAGGCATCGCATAAACTCTGAGGATCAGGCTGATTCTCAATTTTCTTCGCTGCGAGCTCTTTTCCCCTTCTTACATAAACAGCGCCCCGCAGAGTAAAAACGGATGTCAGCTTACCAGCGCGTCTCAGCTTGATCGCCTCTTGCAGAAGTTTTCTGTTGTTAAGTGTGAGGCTTTCATAAATTGCAAATCGCCCCTCAAATCCGATGGCGCTAAGAGAAATTTGCTGCTTCGTACTCTTCCGTTGATCTCTGAATGCGCTTAAGTTCACTTTCTTCATTAGAAACCTATATCTAAGGTGACGAATTTAGAACTGGTTCGCAACTGTCGAAAAAGGGACGCACCACGAACTTATCTGTCTTATTTACAACTAGTTCGGGACAATCGAAAAAGGGATTGTTTACTTTAAATGTACTAGAAGCGCACCAGTTCAGAATTAGAGATTTTCCCCACAGGGTACATACATCCTATTCCTAAACTGCTGCTT